TTAATTTATACTTTTTATGCATCAATCAGAATATTTCAACATAAAAGGTCCAGATTCTAACTAATTCAATTAGGCCACAAAAAATTTTTTTTTTCAACAAACATCTTTATCGCGTGGCCAAATAAAAGAATTGAGTTCAGATTTACAAAATTTTATTTTTACTTTATTGTCACAATTATTAATAACTCGCCCAATATAGTAGTTATCATCATAAAAAAACAGCATAATACTTTCTTAATAGTACGTCAGATATTCTCGCGCTACAGGCTTTAGGATCCTTTTCAAAGAAATATTCTTCTTCTGAATCATTACTTATTTGATATTGTTCAGAAACACTAGAAACTTGAAAATATTTTTGCTTTTTTTAGGTTGCATTTTTGTACAGTTTTTCTTTTATTTATTTTGTTACTTGTAATAAATCTTTGTATTCTATACGCACTAACTTTATTTTTACATTCATCAAAAAGCCAACAAAAAAAAAAGATTTTTTAACAATTATAATTTTGTCATTTACTTTAATTTCTATAAGAATGACGAGTCTTTTGTTATTGATTTTTGTGATACTTGCGTTGATAAAATTTTTAATTTGAGACTCTAATTTGAAATTATCAGGATCATCAAATAAAATTGGGTTGTCAACATCCTTGACGTTTATACTTCCAATGTTTATAAAACAATCGTTATCGATTTCACGTTCTATATCATCGAATTTATTATAATCTACAAATTCACAAATGGATATTAATAAATTTCCAGTCTGTATCATTTTTAATTTTCATACCTAATTTTTCAGATATTTTCAATAGCATTTATCAAAGCTAGCTCAATAATTTCTTTGACATTTAAGTTTTCTATAATTTCATATGTTAGGATATGTTACTTTCTGTTTTTTAACATTTTTTTATCTTCTCTAGGAAATTTAAATTTTCCTGAAAGATCATTCATTATAGCATTTGTCTGTTTAAACCTACCAATACAATACACTAAATCCTTAATACTAAAATTAGTAACAGTAGAATAAATGGAAGTCATAGATTGAGCTGTTCAAAAAAGCTTTTTGCATATTTGACTACTAAACATAGTCGTAAAACATTTTAGGCGTCAGAGATTGCTTATTATCTTTAAATCGTGTAATCAGCTTTATTAAATTATGAGCATTTTATTTTAAACACAGATAACAATTGTTAGTTAAAAAATTATCTTTTATAGTATAGTGCTTACTTCTTTCTAACCATGTTCGCTATATTCTCAGAAAGAAGACTGAACACCACATATAATATGTAAACTCGATTATTTAAAGATATAGATTCAATTAAGAAAGATTATATATTTCATTATGCTTAAATAAGCAATTGTATCATCAATATTAGCAATTTGTTTTAAATTATTAATTACACACAGACTCAATCAGACGCAATAGCGATCGAAAAAACAGGGAAAATATTAGTAGATAATAAAAAACATAAATAAGTGTTTATATATCCACGTGAAGCAACTCTCACCCTGCCCCTTCCCCCCTTGCAAAAGGGCGTACAACTTTTATAATTGAACTGTTATAATTAAACTGTCGAGGCTACGCCGCCCCAAACAATAAAAAATTAACATCTTACTCGCATGGGACCTAACCGCCTAGAAATTGAAGCGTAGTCATTGTCCGCTTGGAATATTTCTAACTAAAAAACAGTGGGGTGTGAGAATAGTCTGTGTGTAATCGAATCGTGCACAATCGGATCCGTGCGCAATCGGATCAGTGCACAATCGGATTTGTATGCAATTCCATCGTGTGCAATCAAGTTTGTGCGTAATTGGGTCGGTGCGCAATCGGGTCCATGTGCAATCAAGTCGGTGCGCAATCGGATCTGTGCGCAATCGGATCTGTGTGCAATTGAGTCCATGTTCTAATGCAACGCTGTGTGTCCGATCGCGTCTGTGTCCAATCGGATCTGTGTCCAATCGACTCTGTCCGGGAAATATTGCCGTTTCCGATTGATAATGCGCGCAATTGGCACTCCCTCACGGTGCAACGTCGGTTCAGAATATATTAACCGACTCTTATTTAATGATGACTCTCGAGGCAATGTTGGCAGTATATCGGCAACCGGTAGGAATCCGGTATCTCCTCGTGAATGTCGCTCCGAGATAAAAATCAATAATAAATACGTATGGAAAGCGTAAGACCGGCGCCAAGATTAACGGTCAAGTCGCGGACGATTCTCGCGAATCCGTAATTACAAAATCTAAGAAACGGCACGCGACGTTTAGAGGTAGATTCTGGGTGGTGACGATGCATGCGCGCCTTCTTGACGTACCAGACGTGCGTTTTCCCATAAATTTTAAGATCATAAAATTTTGGAGGACACTTTCCCATACTACAGATTCCTGTCAACATCCTTTCCTCCCCCAAAATCTTGACCAATCCAAGAGCAAAGGAAAATCCTACTATCAGCTAACGAAACTTATTCCACCAATCCAAATTTGAGTAATCTGGGGCGATTAGTATAAAAATCGCGGTTCCGCAGCCCTCGTCGCAGATTTTTCCCTAAGTTCTCAAACTACACTTGTCGTGATTTTCTCAAGCTACACTGGTTACGCAATTTTCCTATAAGTTTAGAAAAGTTGTCGCGATACTCAAAAAGTTCCATCCGATTTTCGAAGCCCTCTTTCTCCAGTAGAGTCAGTGTTAAAGAAACATCACCAGCCTTACACATCCTGGTCGGAGGATCTCCAATGATAACCATCTCAGTAGGAAGACAGTATATCTCTATTCTCTGGCTCCCTCCTCGCTTTATCTTTTGGTAATTTATTTCAATATTTCATTTTATTTTTTTTTATTATTTATTTGTTTTATTTTATTTTTTTCTTTTCTTTCTTTCTCCCTTTTGACCTCCTACAAGAAAATGAAAACATTGCAGTCCGTTCACGTTATAATTTCAATCTGTCGCCATTGCCCCACGATAATTATTCGCCCCCTGTCGACCGGTCGTTCGTGTCCGCTAACACTATCGTTATCTGAGGAAAATTAGGCCAAACCCTCTCAAATCCACTCATCAAAACCTCCTTCTCTTTTTATTCTCTCGTTATTCTCTCCGTAACTCCTCTCTTCCATTCTGCCACGATACTTTACACACGCACATACACACTTACACATGTACAAATCATAATTATCAAAATTGTTCTATCTCATTGTATTTATTTTCTTTTATTTTTATTCAAAATATATGTTCAATTATTTTTTTTATTATATTATACTATTATATTATATTATTAAATTAACTCCCCAGTAGGTTTTTTTTAAATATAACCTCTCCTCGTATTCTTAAGTTCTCCCGCGATTGTACTTCGCCCTCTCCCCGGTTACTTGGATTAAGTTCCATAACCGAAAGTTAAGGCATACGGCGCAGCTGGCGTTAAAGTGCGCCCCTCTCAGCGCTCAGTTTGGGCCTTTACAAGTACGTCCGACTCGTGTGTCCGTTAGCGGAGCACGAGCAGAGGTTTCCACTTCGTCCTCCGTTCGACCCCCGGCTCGTTAGGAGCCTCAGGACGAAGCGAAGTGCCTCCCGATTTGCGTCGGTCCTTCCCCACGGCTCCCTTGCGGTCCAGAGCTTAGACATGACCAAATCGGTCTAACAATTCGGTTCCATGTTACGTTCACCCCCTCAGCTCCGCATCTGTGCGGAGCTTGGACGTAACAGAATTTAACTTAGTATATTAAAAGTGTTAAGACTATAGTACTTTGGATTTTAATTTTTTATTTGGTATATTAGTTTTTTTTGAGGAGTAATAATTTTTGACAGGGAATTAAAGCTGCCATTACATGGACTGGAATAAAAAGACCCGCAATAAGAATATTCTTGAAGAAGAATTACTACAACGACCATCGCACTCTTGCTCTGCTATTATATATTAGATCTAATCGCGCGCAGCATCGCGCGTAGCATTCTATAAACAAACCGCAACTTGTCACTAGGGAAGTACGATTCGAAAAACGTTGCGCATCACTAAACTCTGTAGTAGCAAGAATGCGACGTTGTAGTAACGGTAATTGTAGTAACGTAAGATTAGATTCGGTCGTCGTCGAGTAAGGCGCACAATGTGCGAGTCAAAGTGTATAACATATATCTTTGTATGTTGTACTTCTTTTATTTATTAAACTATATTAATCTATCGGAAAAAGTTTCATCTCATACGATAATTTATATTCTACATTAATTAAGTGATGCTTTCTTCAGCATTTCTCTAACATTCACCAAACATTATTGCCACACCATGTACATACCAGATTCTTCTGTCTCTAATTTCTATCTGTATTATACATATATTTGGTATAATAACCTTCAGATTATATTATATGACCTCCAGATTATTATAATATACTGCAAGTTGATCAAAGCGCTAATTATACAACATATACTGAATTTTTTTTCTTTTACAAGGGAAGTTTTACAACTATTCGGAACCGATTTGATTCTCCGTGAAATATGTTGTTAAACACGAAAATCTAAGAGACACGTATTTTTTTAATACGTGTATTAACTCATGTTTAAGGGGTGAAACACCCCTTTGAAACAAAATTTTTCTTTTGAAGCGAATATTGTCGAAAGTGTAAAAAATAGAAAAAAATTTTTTTACTTTATTCGCCTCAAAAGAAAAATACCATTTTTTTTTTTAAAGAAATGTTAAACATGAGTTAGGATACGTATAAAAAAATATGTCTCTTAGATTTTCGTGTTTAACAACATATTTCATGGAGAATCAAATCGGACAGTTGTGAAACTTCCTTTGTTAGATTTATTTGTTGAGTGTATTAATGGATAATTATTTAAAAAATAACTTGTGATTTTTGGTAATCATTTTGAAATTATTTTGATGCCATTACTTGTGTTTTGCTTGAACAGGGTAACATATTTTTTTTATCTCTATACTACTTTTTCTTACTAAAATCATATATTTGAATTTCATCGAATTATCTGTAACTTTGCATTATTCGGTATTTTTTACAGATAAATGGAAGCACTGCATTTTCGTGTTTAATCACAAGGGTGAGCTTGTTTATCGCATGTGCAATAAAGGTTACGGAAAGTCAGAGTTGTGTTCACCGGAAGGTATCACATTTCATCCGGAACGCAGTGTGCTTTACGTTGCTGATACTGGAAACGATCGTATCCAGATTCTTGAGAAGGATGGCACTTATTTGGATAGCATTGGACCCAAAAATAAAAACATAAGAGATACTGTCAGATTCCGTAAAACTGGCCCAAGCAAATTGAATCAACCGACTGATGTAGCTGTCACAATAATGCATGTCGTCGTTGCCGATTCCGGTAATCACAAAATAAAGGTGCAATTATCATTAAAGTTGCCTTAACATAATTTAAACATTTAGTGCTATAGCATACGAGTACAAAGAAACTTAAGCAAAAGATATAAGCAGTAAGCAATTCAACATAATGAATTTGCTACTGATTTTATTATGGCCTTACGGTCACTACTGTAATTAGCCAATTCACTTCTAGTTATGTTTTAAGTTTTTTTTTGAGCTCTCATCCTTTCTTGTTGTCGAATTAAACTTGTCCCTGGATTTTCACGGAAACTTAAATTAAACGTACATGTACTGCAGTAAAATTGCAACAATATATTTAAAGAAATATTTAAAAATGTGCATGTGTACGTGTATGTACAGTTGATCACAAAAAGGTTGCAACACTAATTTTTTTAATGGGTTTTGAAACGCACAAATATTACAAGAAAGCGAACAAATATTACAAAAAAGGTCTGTAAGCTACATGCATCATCCTAGGGTGCATTCGAAAAGCGCACTATCAGCACCTTTGTATAATATTATCCTTGTCTCACGTCTAGTAAATGATGAAAATAGAATGACACAAATAGCGTTAATCGCGTCTCTCTGAATGCAGCCCTAATGTACACATCTATTTCGACAGTACAGTCGGTATACGGTCCTTCTGACAAATGTTCTAACCCTCAAGTGTACCGAATGTACTGGAGAAATAGATATGTACATTTGGATGATTTGTGTTACATTAAAAAAAAATTATTTTTTAAATTCTTTTTGTGATACCCCTTAGAATGGTTTAAATCTACTAAAAATAATTCCTGCCAAATTTTAGCTTGAGCGGACAACGTGAACGCTTGCTTGCTTGTTAAATGTTTGAGTTCCCTTACATTACAGTATTAATACTCACTTTTAATCCTTGATAGTTCAACAAAATTATTTTCTAATCTGTATCTACTGAAAGAAAAAGATACTAAATTTTAATACTAGCTGTTTCAATAGTATTAATACGAGTATAACATTTATCTATGAAAAAGATACCTATATATTTGCTAAATAAAACGTAATAATAGTTAAATCAAATTAATGATTCTTGTATCGCGAACAAATGTTTACACTTACAATTAGTACATATTTGTACATGTTTTTCTATAAAATATATTTTGCTGAATTAAAATATGTTGGGAATAAAAGAATATTAGAACAAGATTGTAAGAAGTGTTATTCGGTCAATGCGGACTTGTCGACTCATCGTGCACACACGCGAACAATTAGTGACGAAGGAGAACCTGCCGGTAGGGCATGAATACGCGCCTAGCGGCGAACAAAATAACAAACATAAACATAACTCGTCGATAATCAATCGGCCGCGACTCGCATGTCGATGATCTACCGAGCGCCACAATTGGTTGGACAAGCAACTATCCAACAAAATATATAGGGGTTTTTGGGATCGCTGATTTTAAAATAAAATTTAAAAAATTAGCTATGACTTATTTACGTGCAAAATTTTATGCCTAAGTATATTAAAAGATTATGAAGAATATTAAGAATATCAAAAATATAAAGAATGAGGTCATTAAAACATTTTATTTTATTATTATCAAAATTCAAGAGATCTTGATAGTAGGGATGTGCGGGTACCCAGAAATATGGGTCGGGTACAATAATAATCGGGGGAGTCGGGTCAGGCAGGTCCCGAATGTTAGGTACCTGAATGTCGAGATAAAATACTTGATTCGAGACCTAAAAACTCTATTTAAGAATTCGGGATTTGATATACGATTTGGGACAAAATTTTTCCAACTGTTCTTAAATTTTTAAGTTTGGAA